TCTCGCGGACTCTGTCGCTCTCTTCTATGCTCATAGGTTCGAGCGCGTCGTAGTCCAGGTGCTCGCGCCATTGAGTGGCTTCCGCTTCTTTGAACTTCTCCTTGACGTAGTCCGGGATTTCGCTCCACTTCAGCTCCTTCTCCTGACGTTTTTCAACACCTCTTTGAGTGAGCGCCTTCCTGGTGAAGTGGGTCTCGTTGGGGGCGTCGTCGACCACGATGTCGTCCTGCCTGGTCTTGCGCTTCAGTCTCCTAGAGGGCACCGGCGGTAGATGTGGTGGTTCCTCAACGAACTCGCCGACTTCGCTAGGGACGTACTCCGAGCAGTCCTCGTAGTCCATAGCCTTCTCGTCATCCGTGCCGAAGGCCATGTCCTCGCTGACCAGTCGATCCGGGTCGAAGGTGTCCTCGTTGTCGAAGTCGGCCTCCAGCAGCTTTTCCACCTCGACCTGCGCGCCCTTCATGCGCAGGTACTCTCCGATCTCCTCGGGCCCGGAAGGACGTAAGTGTTCGGCTGCAGTCAATCTGCAGCGACCATTGCGTGATATCCAGTAGTTGTCTCCTTCTCGTCCGACAACAACAGCTGGTCCCGCCCACTTTCCACGACGGCGGTTCTTGGGCTGCGTCCAGAAGTGTACCGTCTCTCCAGCCTCAATGGGCCTGATCGCCGTCCTGGCCCTTTGTAGAAGTGCCTTCCGGAGGCGAATGTCGCCTTGGGAGTGGTGATAGGCGATTCGTGCAGCTGTCCGAATAGCAATGGCTCGCTGGTACTGGCTCTCGGGGGAAACGTCCCACGAAACCTTTTGGCCGCTGTCTGGGTCCGCCAGACCTTCTGGTAGTCGAGGATGACGACCGAACACCCACTCGGTCGGGCTGTGTCCACATCTTCTTCGTAACTCGTTCTTCGCGCTGGAAACCAGACTGGCAGCCAGGTGGACTTCGTCGGCAGTGATGGACATCTCGTGGCAGACTCGTTCCCAAATGTTCTTCCACCAAGCTCCTTGTCTCTCGGTGATGCCGGCCTGCCAGTGTGCCTGCGCTGCGACGTTCTGCACTGATATACCGTGCCACTCACAAAGGCGACAAATCCCCTTCTGAACGGCACCATCCAAATCCAATGACACCTTCTTGGGTGGCCCGAAAGGGACGACCCAGTTGTCATTGAAAGCCTTCTCGATGTCGTCGTTGTTGAAGCCGTTCAGAGGTACAGCAACATGGTACGAAGTTCCCCAATCGACAATCGATAGGAAAGTGTGTCTTTGGTCTTCGCAGTCGTGGTGGTGAAGAAGGTCTGCACCGACGCAGTCGTTGAAGTCGTACATCCTCGGCACTGTGGAGGGGCGAGCAATCCGGGGCCCGGAAGTACTTGCGCAAACATCGCAGTGCATACTCTTGACCGCCTTGAGTACGGCCTCTTCACAACCTGCTAGGCGAAGATGTCGTAGAAGGTCTTCCCGACGGGGGTGGCCGAGGTTCTGATGAAGCCGACGTAGGGAGCTTTGGATGACGGGATTCACGCCAGCATCGAAAGTGATTCCACTTCCGTCCATCCTTGCCGTCTGCTCGCTTTTGACCTCCCTGTCCTCGGTGTCCACGACGCAGACATGATGAGGGCGGTGGCCTTCGCCATTGACGAGCCGTCCTTGTTTGTGCTTCCCAAGGCCAACCCAGTTGTCGCCATCGGCGTCGACGTGATTCCAGATGACGTTCGCACTGAATTTGTCGACAAAGACGGTAGGATCTCCTCCGCGTAGTACCACGTCTCCCCCGCCGGCGATCTGTTCGCCGATCAACTGGGTGATGTCCTCGACGTAGGCTTCGTTGATCCCGTTGAGGTTCAACCTGAGCTCCTTCGGGGTCGCGGCCTTAACAAAGTGAAACGCATCCTCCTTGCGCTCGGGGTCCTTGTAGTCTTCCCAAGTCATCGGTTCGATCACCGCTTTGTCCAGCTCAACGGCCTCATAGGTCGCGTCGATACCTCCGATCTCGAAGAGGACGATGGGATCCTGCTCGACGGGTGGTCTGGCTTCGCACATGTAGGACGTCGCTGCCAGGAGTAGTCCGGTCATCATGACACTCAACCTTCCAGCCGCATTGGCGATCTTGGTCCTCGTGCTCTTCCTGGGCAATCGTGAAGTAGATGCCCTTTTGATGCCACGTAGGTTCGGGAGAGGAAAGCCGGATCTCCGAAGCAGATTGCACGTCTCCTTCTCAGCCTTGAGGATCCCTCTGGTGGTGTGGTAGATCAAACTCCATCGTTGCCCTTCCCAGGGGCATGTAGCGTGCTTGTAGTAGGGGTCGAAGGAGACGAAGGGCTTTAGGGTTCAGGGTTTAGGGTTCAGGGTTTAGGGTTTAGGGTTTAGGGTTCAGGCTTCAGGGTTTAGGGTTTGTTAGGCTTTAGGGTTTAGGGTCCTAAACCCTAAACCCTAAACCCTAAACCCTAAACCCTAAGCCGTCTAGGGATCTGATTGCACTTGGGAAGGCGGGGAAGACGCAACACCTGCAGCGAGAGGCCTTGAAAGTCCGTTCGTGAGTTTGGGGTAACGCTACGCTTGTTGCACCCTAAGCCTTAAAATCTACCCTAAACCCTAAACCCTGGTCTACACCCTAAAGCCATGTGAGACACTGTTACATCACTCTCAGTATGACCCTTCATACTACTAGTAGAACCAATGTAGGCGCGCTTAAAGGAACCATTGTGGAACCTCTTGTAGTAACCCTAAATGCTGAAACGGTTCGGGGTTTAGGGTTTCTGGTTAGGGTTTTTTGGGTCAAGGGTTTACGGGTTAAGGTGTCTCTCTATTTTTGGGCATTCGGTTGCGCATGTGGGGCGTAGAGTCAAGGAGTTGACGGCGAGGGTTCAGGGATTAGGGTGGACGGTTGGGGATCAAGATTCAGGCTTGTAGTTTCGGGTCCTTGTTGGGTTGAGGCTTCGTTTTTGAAGTGCAACACGGACGACTTTGCCGAAGGCAAGACTGTACCTAAATCCTAAACCCCAAACCCTAAACCCTAACCGTAAACCCTACTAACTGTACTATCTTGGGAGGCAAAGGCGAGAAAGACTACACCTTTAGCAATCGTCGTCCTCCGTCCCTGCATCTGACTGCAATCCTCCAGCACGTGGTTAATATAGGGTTTCGCTTTAGGGTTTAGGATTTAGGGTTTAGGGTTCAGGGTTTAGGGTAATATAGGGGCCTCAAAAATTACCTATACTACTTTGGGGGTTCCTTGTTATAACTTTGGTATAACATACCCCAAAAGCCTATTGTAATTGTTAAGGCCCCTACATTACGCTTTAGGGTTTGGGGTTTTTTCGCTTGCCCTTCACTTCATGTTGTCGCTTCCGCAGTGGTTACAAGCACATCGTTTCGAAGCTGAGTCCCACTCTTGCCTTGTTTGTAGGGTTTACGGGGTTAAGGGTTCGAATGACAAAGCTGAAACCCGTCTGGGATGCACCTTCCAAAGTTGGTCAGGACTCCACACCCTAAACCCTAAACCCTAAACCCTAAACCGTGATTTCGGAACCCCAAGCCCAGTTTCCCAAGCCCAAGTCCCGAAAATCCTTAATCCTTGGACCCCGACACCCTAAAGCCTAAACCGAAAACTCCAGAACACTTTTACGTGTACACGTGTGTATACATAAATAAGTATATATATATATATATATATATCTTTATATGTTTATATATTTATTGGTTTATATATATGTATGTATATATATATATATAGATATATTCTTTACACACACGCAAGCATACCCTTGAAGGAACCCGACCCCGTGGCATGGAAGGTAGAAAGGCAATCCCTGAGCTGGGCAAACTGGATCGGCTCCGCGGCGGCGTTTTTGAGCTTTGGATGGCAGGCGTAGGGAGTTTTGGGTTTTGGGGTGTGGGGTTTCGGGTTTAGGGTACAGGAAAAAAAAGATATTTCGGAAGCCCAAGCACGAATTTCTGATGCCTGACGTTCCAGAGCCTCATCCGTAAATCCCGACCCTTAACCCCCTTGTTCTAAACCCTAAACCCTAAATTTCAAAGGCCTAGCCCCCACAAGGAGCTCCATCCGAACACCCGAAGTCGAACCTGAATCCCAGACCGTTCCGAGTGAGAGATTACGAGCCTTTAAGGGTCCCTTTAAGGGATCTTTTGGGTAAACTAAGGGGTCCTTTAAGGGATCTACAGGGGTCCTTTAGCGTAATGCCGAAACACAGACCGGGGGTCTTCAGGGTTCTACCATCGGTTCCTTCGACACTGCCTTTACGGACCTCCTAAAAAAGCCTTAACCCTACAGCCCTAACCCCGGAAACCGTAGATCCTTACAAGCCCTAAACCCAAAACCCCGAAACCCTAAACCCTAACCCCTAAACCCTAAACCCTAAACCGAAAATAGGGGACCCTAATATAGTAATCTAAATAGTAGGATCCTTATTATAAGGACACCAAAATAAGGTACCCCGTATTTTCTGAAACTCCCACCTAAATGTGCTTCAGTGTTTGAGAAGTTCAGGGTCAGGGCTTCAGGGCTTCAGGGCTTCAGGGCTTCAGGTTTTAGGGTTTAGGGTTTAGGGTTTAAGGTTTAGGGTTTATTTTTTAGATTTTAGGATTTTGGGGTAATGGGTTTAGTATCGGGTTTAGGGTTTCGGGAAATAGGTTCCAGGGTCTGGAACTCGTTCAAATCTCCCGCCCCCGACGAAAACAGTTTTTCATGAAAGCCAGACACATTCCGACAGAAGCCTACGCCCCAAACTGCAGCTCACCAATGGCAAAACTGCAAGACACAAAGGCCATGTCAGGAACAAAAAGGTTTAGGGTTTTAGGGTTTTAGGGTTTTGGGGTTTTAGGGTTTTGGGGTTTTAGGATTTAGGGTTTCAGGTTTTAGGG